TTTGGCGTAGGTCCTGATTTCAGCTCCATGCAGTTCTATCTATTTAGCTTTATTCTCCGATGCCAAACGTAAATTTGATCCCTAGCTTCATACACAATCAGCCCCTGTGATTTATTGGCTCGGTGAATAAATGAAAACCTGTCTCCAAAATTCAAGGGATTCTTTTCTATGAGAGTGAATTCTCCTTGAGCTATAGTTAAGAACTCTGATACTAATTTCATCCAACTTCCTGCCGATTTCAGTACATGTATTGGAACGTTGTTTGGCCATAGCATCTGCAGTCCCCTCTAAGTGATAACAGGACAGAATTACACCTCATCCTACATACATATTGGTAATGCAGACGACCAAGAAAATTTGATTTCCTCATTTGGAGGGAGATGGAACTCTTCAATCTCCAGCTGGATCACCGAAGGCTGTAATTGATATCAGTGAAGGAACATTGACTGTGTGATTTCTAGTTCTCATTCCACCAATTTAGTGTTGTTGAGAGTTTTTTCTTGTGATTTAGAAAGCGTCCTTCTTAACAGAAATTTTGCCTTTAACAAGGCTTCTTTCACGTTCAGAATTGATTTTTCCTTGAGGAGAAATTGATGAGCAACAGATAAAAAGACATAGTGGAGAGGAGGGGCAGGATCACAATACCGTTCCTGCCATGTTTCCCCTACGTAGTGCGCTCATAACTCCTACTGGATCAGACAGGGTATCAATCAATAATGAAAGATTCCCAAAATTGTACAAAATGCTGAAACAGGAAAACAACCCTAACGGCAAATTAGACCAACTAAGTCATTAATTAGATTTCGCTGTAAGTGTTTTCTAGACACTGTGAGGCATGCTGATTTTACAAAGGGTGGATTTCGAGGTCTGAGTGTTGCTGCGAGGCTCCTGTCAGGGTTTGATGGTTCGACATGTATTTTGCATTTTTGTTCATAGAATACAAACAATAAGTTACATGGTTCATACTTGGTTTACTCTCATGTGCAGTGCAGGAAAAAATCAATATTTCATCTTTAATCAATGCAACAAACGTGATATGAATTCTGGGAAATAGGGAGCATGGTGAAGTGTGGCTCCGGGTGCTGATCTTCCGATAAACACTGACCTCGCTAGATTCTAATATATAGATACAGTTTCTACTGCACCGCCAAGAACATTAATTTTTAACTAGCTTTCTATATTTGAAAAAAAACACCTAACAGCATCGTTTTATTGTATTCATGAAACAGACCCCCCCCCCTATAATGAATGATTTGATAAAGAGATAATCGGAACTGGATGCCTGGAAATCCTGGAATAAAGACAAAACCCCTAATTAACGGTTCCCTATAGACTATGTTTAAAATCTTATCCCCAATAGCAGAACAATCTTATTACCCCAACTGCAAAACAACTTAGATCGTCTTTCAAAGTTTGGTCAACTCCACAATATTCAGAACTGTTTTTTACAACACCTTTCTATAGATACAGTATACTAACCTGTATAGGACCAACACATTAGAATTAAAAACCTGCATCATCTAGAACTGCAAGTAATCCAAAAACCTGAATAATATAGAAACCTGAAAACCTGATGAATATAGAAAGTTTAGTAATCTAAAAAGAAACTGAGTAAACTAGAAATCTGTGCAATTTAGAAACCTTATAAATTTAGAAGCCAAATAATCTAGATAACTGCAATGTAAAAACCTGTGTAGACCTGTGCTATCTAGAAACTTGGGTAAGCTAAAACCTTAGTAAACCAACAACCGGTATAAGAAAGAAACCTGCAAACTAGAAATGTGAGTAATCTGGAAACCTGTGCAATATATGAACCTGTGCAATTTAGAAACCTAAGTAATCATGAAACCTTTGCAATATAGGAACCTGTGCAATCTAGAGACCTGTGCAATCTAGAAACCTGAGTAACCTAGAAACCTTTGCAATATAGGAACCTGTGCAATCTAGAAACCTAAGTAATCTGGAAAACTGTGCAATATAGAGACCTGTGCAATCTAGAAACCTGAGAAACCTAGAAACATTTGCAATATAGGAACCTGTGCAATCTAGAAACCTAAGTAATCTGGAAACCTATGCAATATAGGAACCTGTGTAATCTAGAAACTTGTGTATAATCCAGAAACATTTGAGTAATCTAGAAAATGAGTGTAATGTACGCCTTATATTATATTCACCTCTTTATATGTCGGTTCAACCAGCATACTTTCTTGTCAACACAAATATTTTATAATCATTCTGATCAGGATATATCTAGACAGCAGGAATATATATAGTTTTAGTGTTTGGAGTCAGCAAATGGTTAGACAGGTTTCCTTCTAATTAGAAGTTAGTTTCACACAGGTTTCCATCTAAAGTAGAAGTCAGCTAGACAGAAGGAATTGTTTTGGTGCTTCAAAGAACCAAAATTAGGTTTTTTGTTTTGAATTTCATTATTAAAACAAATCCTTCAAGCATTAAATTTTGAAGTAATTTGGACTGTTTTAAAGGTTAGATGGATTAAGGTTTTTTACACTCCTTGGTTTACAGAATTCTACAGATGATTTACAAATAGGGGAAAATGAGATTCTGCTGGCAGTGGCATTAGGTAACTTAATGTTTTCTGGTGTAGAAGTGCTGGAAGATGTATTCAAAGCTAACAACGTTTGGAGTAAGGAGGTCTGGTGGAATTGGATCAGTAATCTGATGAAACCCTCAAGGCATTGGTAGCTACCTTGATTCCACAAACAAATAATCCAATAGATATCAATACTTCTGGCCTTCTTCTATTTCTCAATTATGCATTGGGCCTTGAGAACATCAGGAAAACCCGTCACTGACAATTATACATCTAACAGTGAACGTTCATGTATTGAAAAAAAATTAACAACAAAATTATCCAAAATCCTGTATGACTCATTATGTTTTAAGATCATGAACTGTCTACGTTTAAATGTCAAAAGAATTAGATTGGTAAAGACAATTTGCCTTTGGTTATTGCCCATCCGATGTCAGTCAGATCCTTGCTATCAGCAGTTTCATTATAGAATTTTCAGAAATACATATTATCTGGAAGTATCAAGTCTGTTTCTCAGGTGTGTTCAGGGATTTTTTTTGAAATTAGATTTATGGCTACTTAATACAAAGGTGATTGGTACAGAGGTCACCATAGGCACAAAGGTCACTAAGTTCAAAGGTCAAAAATACAGGGTCACCACAACAAAAGACATTAAAATAGAGTTACCAGGAAATATTACCAGGGTTATTAAGTGCAGAGGTCATAAATACAAAGGTCGATGGTACAAAGTTCACAAGTCTAATAGAGCAGTCACTGTAAGAGTAATAAATAGAGAATAAAACACGCCTTTTTCCATATCACACCCAGAATCAACCCTTGACCAATATCAGCCCGCGGGCCTTTGGCCCTTGGGCTGATATTGCAGTCTTGAAGTAAAGTATTCTGTTTATTACATACTTACTAATAAAAACTACTATCTTAAGATTTATTTTAATTTTTGAAATATTGAAAAACATTTTTTTTTTCAAGTGGGGTGTGATATGGGTTTTGCGGGCTGATATGGGTTTTGGGGTGTGATACGGCGGGGGCTGATACAGGTTTTGGGGGGTGATACGACGAGGGCTGATATGGGTTAGAGCAATTGTGTTGTATCGCATATACAAAAAACCCGTATTTATTAGTAAGTATGTAATAAATATGTTTTAATTGTTCATAATAATTTTAGTGAAATTTTATACAGTTTGTATATATTTTCTCTGCATTGTAGATAAATGTTTCCTCGTCATATTTTAAATGTAAAGAAATCTATTTCTTTTTTTAATGTGAAAAAGTCATGTTGCAAATGTCAGAAGTACAGAGGTCAATAGGTCAAAAGTGTTTCCTAGAACTCTATCTGGTACTGATAAAAGTTTCCAAGAACTGGTTTACTCAAGAAATAATTGGGTACTCTACATGGAAAAAAAGTTTCAAAGATGACATTATGAAGGTGTCTGTTTGTGGTTTGGTGTTCCTGACGACCTCTATCTTTCCAGCAGAGCATGTAAAGTTCTGAGGCACAGGTGGTAGAGCAATCTGTATATGTCACACCAGAGACTAAAGCACAATATCTGCCACAATTCATTCCTAATGAGAATTTTCCCAGTTCTTCCCCTTTCGTAAATGCTGTTCAGAGGGATATAAGAAAATGTCTTGTTTCTATGGAAATACGCTCATCTTAGAATGTTGGGTTATGGTGCACTTTTTGTACTGGAATAGAGCATTGAACCGGTTGTTTACCAATGCTTTTATAATGCCAGGTTACAGTTTATAGTCGGAATTCGTAGACCTGGTACATATTTTATTGGTTTCACAGATATATTCCACAAGTACATGTAATAACTACCGGAACACAGCCATTTTAATGACTAGGCCAGCTGGTTCTATCACAGTTCAGGAAAATATAAATGGTAGCATTTTCATAGGTTTGTCATTAACATGATATAATTAAGTTCCATACTTCATGTGGACTGTAATCAGTTTGTATAAAGGGAGGTTTTGATAAAACTAGTTATATTTGATATAAAGATGAGCGATCGTAACATGAAATGATGCTAGCGTGATTTATATGTGGTGTTATCCAAGCTGCAGCTGAAACAACGTGATTCACCGCTATTAGCCTTTACCTGACTGATCATTGATTACATCACAGGAGGGGACACAGATAATATTTGTTGTTTACATGGTTAGCAGCTTTTTATGTCATTCAGTGGTTATGTTATTAAACAGTTGATCGTATGTTCTACAATGAAATGCCTCCGTTTACTGCTTGCTGCAATCATGGAAAAGTTTTTCTGGATTTTTTTTTAATTCAAAATGTTATAAACTATGGAATTTTTCACAATGCATTTCACTAGAGTTCTGTTTCAAATTTTGTTGAGCTATACTCATTTTCCTTGCTGCAAACTTCCTCAACTTCACAAGAATTAAACATTAAAATCTCACTTTTTTATCATTTTTGTCTTTTCAGAAAGAGCACCATCTGAGGTGACATTTTTTGGTTCACAATATTTTATGTATGAATGGCCAGCGAAAGGAGCACCCACCAGTAACACAGATGAGGTCAGTCTCTACTTCCGTACCAGACAGCCCAGCGGACTTCTCTTCTACACTGGTATGTGGCATTGGCTCTCATCATTTATATCTGCTAATGTTTCAAAATAAATTAATCAGAGGCTTTTCATGCATAGCATGTCACAAAGTCATAGGTTGGCTTGTATTTGGTTTTAATTTTTTTACTGTTGGCATCAAGCATTAATGCATATAAAAACAGAAATAATTTTGAAATTTCCTTCGTAGTCTTGCAAGACTTAATGATTTGTTGTTCTGTCCTTGCCTTAATTCAGTGTAAATTAAGATTTTAGTCTGAAGCGTTGCTTACAATCTACTGATACCTTTGCTTCAGTTTTCGCTGTAAGATATAACTAATCATAGAGTCTGTGTTTTCCTGTACTTTGTTGTACAAAATGATGAAATGCCGAGAAGCCTTTGTACTTGTGGAAAACGTAGGTTTTTCATGACATCACAGATCAACGGCTTCTTGTCTTTATGTGCTTTAAGTATAGAGAGTTCCTGCTTTTACTCGGCGTCAGACAAGAAAGTGGCTTATGTGGTATGTTCAGTAAAGGTTTTTACTCTCCTTGACAGCCTTCCCACATGTTACCATCCTCACATCCTGTAATTAACTTGATACAGACACTTAGGTATGGACACCAAAATAGGTCTCGTACATATATTGGAGAAGCTCTGCATGTGGTGATTTCCATTGAAACAGCTTATGAAACACTTCCTCAATCTTGGAAGATTTTTTTTTAAAAGTCAAGAGAATCTAAGAGAATCTAAGGAGTTGGTTATCAACTGTTTGCATATATAGATGGATAGGTATAATTGCCTTATTTTTGTGTGCATATAAGTAATGATATATAAGTTGAATACATGCAAGTCATATATCCCAGGTACATTGATGACTGTAACCTACAAGAAGATCCACCAGATACCAATTTGAGTACACAGATGGAGATTCTCTTACCTTTTGAGTACACAGATGGAGATTCTCTTTCCTTACATAATTACCTTAGAAAATTAAAAATTTTACTTTAAAACACAGTTAGGTGTAGCAAGTTACAGGTCTTTGCTGATAACATCTCATCACACAGCTTAACATCATATCAGAGATTACATTGTATATTTCCTTCTTAGCCCACCTTACAATTTTAATTGCTTTGGAGCTAGCTTTTATCATGGCGAAACATTAATGTCTTTCATCATTGTCTCTTTTCATAATTGAGTCACCTTAAGTATGATATATCCCAATGTCATGGTATTTGACCTGTATAGCTTGCTGGAGTTAACCATGATATAGTTTGTTCAAGTAAATGACCTTGACCCACATTTCTTCATAAAAAAGCTTGACCCACATTCAGCATCAAAGATGCAAATGCATTGAAATCTTTAAACAACAGTTTTAGTTTACCTTGTATAAAGTGCTTGTGAGTTTATGCTATGACACAGTGTTCATTGTCAGTGTGTGTCCATTCTACCATCTATCTAAGATCATTTTCATTTGTTCAAAACATTACCTTGATATAAAGTCAATGTAATTTTGTATCATATGAAGGACAGCTAGAGTAACATTTATGGCCTTCATGGCCTGCTGCAGTGACAGGCTATTGACCTAGACCCATATTAAAGGTTCCATGGGTCAATTATTTCAGAACATTGGTACTAATTACCGTGGTAAGGGTAGATATTTGGCCTGTAAGCAGTTACCGTGGTAAGGGTAGATATTTGGCCCGTAAGCAGTAGCACTATAAGTCTAAAAAATCTTATTCTTGATGATGGTGATAAGACATGTTTTTTATGCCCTTGGATATCTAGAGAGGTTAAATAAAATGTACACTATTGTATGTTAATGAAGACCTCTGCATGTGCCCAAAAGTAATCTTCCTGTCTGTCAATCTGTCCTTTTTTCTGGTTTTTTGCTTAAAGGCATTAAATTAATCATCCATTTTGATAACATTGTGTAAGCTTGTATGCAATATTCAATATCTATTCACATATAATGAGCATATTGCGATCTGATCGGTCATCAGTTTCTGTACAATAGTGATATTAAGTAGCACACATCAATTTCATTGACTCATTGAGCGACAGTCAGATCAATTCCAAAGGATGGGAGGTATAGCTCTTAGATGTTGAAAAATTAGAATCTTTAAAATTTCAATAGACATTCAAATTAATTTAGTCCTGAATAACATCTTAATTACCATAGCAAATGTGAATTTAAAGCTACAATGATACTTTAGGCAGAAATTGATGATTATTGATATCATTTGATATTTTTTACCTAACTTGAATAAGGGAGGTAGCTCTTGTATCAGCATGTGCAATGTACAATAGTTTAATTTGGAAATATCCTTGGGAAATTGGATAAGATATTTAAATATTTATTGTAACATTTTAATTGTCATTACAACACTGTATAATGCCATAAACAGAAATAAACTGTACTTCAATTGCCGTATAAATTTGAATTATTCTTTTATTGATTATTAAAAAGTATGCTTTTAACAATGATTAAAGCACTATTTCATAAACCAATGTGATAGTGTAACCTCTGAAGGTTTCGTGAAGTGCCTTATTTTGTTTAGACAAGTTTTATTATTCACATAGTGCTGGTTTATGATATGTAGTTAGCAGGTCAGTACATTTTTTTAGTTTTCCTCTTTAATTATTATCATGTGCATCTTTTGATATTACAGGACAGGGAAGCGATTTCTTGATAGTTTCTCTTAAAAACGGTGGAGTAAGTGTCACAGTTAATCTTGGATCTGGAACATACGACTCGGAAATACGACCACACGCCTATCGCTTTGACGACAATCACTGGCATCATGTGCATGTGAAGAGGAAAACAAGGGAGGTAAGTGTGTTACAAATCCTCTTCTTTATCTATCTGGATTTTCACTTTGCCAAAATTTAGTGACTGTTGTTTCATAGGCTATATAGCTGTTTACTCACTTTTGTTATGAACATTTTCAGACATTTTTTAGTGAACTTTTATAAAATATTTATTATATTTTCACTTGACTGTTAGTCGTTTCACCAGAATGGTATGCTGATTGTAACATAGTGTTAGTTTTCTTTTCTTCAACACACAGCTCCTTTTTAGCTCGGTATAACAGTACTTATATTTCTCACCGCTTTGTAGATTAGGACAGTCTAGCCTTCTATTTGTTTTGCATTGCGATTCTTGAACCATAGGCTGTATAACACTTCCTCCATGAAAATCTCGGAACAGTATTCCTATAATCCCTGATAAGGCCATAATATGGGGGTCCCATTGTATGTATCTGTCCGCTTCTCAGTAATGACAGGGATTGATGGAGATACAGAGAATCTATAATCCTGGTGAAATAGATTTTATTATATGGATTTATAGTATATGATTTTATTCATTGTTATTTTTTTATGGTTTTTGTATAAAATTTTCTTATTTAAAAGGTCAGTAAACTTGTCTTTTTATCCTAAGAATGAACCTGATCCAAAGTTTTTTGGAAAAGGAGATACAAAATGCGGGCCTTCTTGTCTCCTTTAATTTTATTCCTGTTCTAAGAACAATTCTGATTCTGAAGAGGCAAAAAATATTCATTCATTAACAAATCTATGAAAGAAATGATATCTTAAATTTACATGTATTTCAGAAAAGATTTTGATGCTATTCCTTTGAGTCTATAACCCCAATCTTTTTTTTTTTTTTGTTTTTTTTTTTGTTTTTTGAGTATTTTCCCATGGAGACTTAATTGTGTAAAAGCTATAATATCGTCTTTACGACTCTCAGTTTCTCCTATCTAGAGAAATGTTTTCTCAGACGTACACAAAACACTTGACTCCAGATTTCGGTGCATATATATTGCTCAAATGATATTCGTAAATATGTGGCTGACTAGACTGGTAATTGTTATTACAGTATATTTCTGCAGACACGTGACCCTGGTAGGGGACGATGTGATTATCCAATGCATCTAGAGACATGTGACTAAGCTAAAGCTCGGTAAAATCAATCTAAATGAAATGAAGAGATTAATTTTTGTGCTGTATGTAGAAAGTCTAGTAACACAAACGAGCATGATTAACACTGGGCATAATGGGTAAATGTGTGGACGCTTCCCGTGGGACGTCTAGTACCAGAGTTCAGTCTCGGCCAATCTCTCTCACAGCTCCACCATCCATACAGTGCCAAAATCAAAATCATGACATTCATGTCTCACTTCCAGAAAATCTCGAAAGACAAAACCCAATAATACTAAGAAAAAACAGAAATTGTCATAGGTTCATCTGAAATTTCATGTAGATTAATTCCTTTGTCTTGGAAATTCAATGCCCAGCAAATGTCACCAATCATGAGGAGAATGGGTACTGTTACAGTACAGCCTTACGATCTGGCAAGGGGTTGGCGCCATGTTGGATTGCCAGGATTCGTCTTGGTAATCTTGTAAAAAGTTCCCACATGATTGTTTGGTGTATGAGAACAGCTGCTGCTAGCGTTTAATGTATGTGTCCACTGCTATCGGCTCTAAGGTGTTTAATGAAGAAAATATGATTTTGAAAACATGTTTTTATTGTTTCTCCCCAAGCACTTTGCAATAGATATCTTTTTGCCGTAGGTTTCTGAAGAAAGTTGGAAGCTTCCCTTCGGCAGTACACAGGGAAATTCACATTATGTGGGATAACAATTGGAACCATTGTTTGAGGGAAAAATTAAGTAAAGCATTTTAATACCGGAAAGGCTAATTAGGCAAGAACATGGTGAGATGTAAATGTTCATTGGGATTCAAACTGTGTGGAGGCTTATTTGACTGACTTTCTTAAACATTTGATTGGCTCTCAAATGCCATTGATTTTCCAATTACTGTTCATCGCTTGGCATAGAATGACATTTCTTTTTCTTTTAGATTACCAAATATACAAACAGTGTAAACAAAACAATGAAACAGTGCTCTGTAAGATAGGTTTTCCCTAATCCTTCTTTGTGCAGTTTGTTTTCCAATAAAGGAAGCCCTACTGTTCACAGTAATGTAAAGTTTAATTAATCTCCTTCCAGTTAAAGGGGCTGGTCGGGGAAAAAATGTTATATTTGCTAAAATGGCATACACATGTTTAAAATACCTTCTTATGAAATATACCGATACAAATTTTGCTGAAATTCACTCCCTTAGAGTAAAAATTATAATTATATTAAAGAAATCCTAAATCGTCACCTGAAAGTCAAAAACTCTCAATTGACCCAGATGAGTGATGTAATTTTACTGCACGCGCGTCATCAACAAGGCCAAATGTAAACATCGCGGCGAAAGAAAAAGATACATCAACATATAGGTAGGAATACTACACTTGCATCATACATGACCTTTGAAAACAATTATTTACGTATAGTATTGCTGTCTTGTCCGCTAGTTGAGTCCGACATGGCACATGACGGCGTGCTATTGTTGTTATCTTCACTGCCTCACTTATGAAACAACCACATGACATATCATATATATAGATCTGTACTAAATTTACGCGGGGCTTCCCCAAGATTTCAGTGGTCAAAACTGGACATTGCAAGCAGAACTCGACCATCATATTGCCGTGGTATAACTTTTGGAAGGCCAGAGAACGCATTTAGACCCATTTATTTTGTATTTTTTTCCCCGACCAGCCCCTTTAAGCATGTTTATATTTCTCAGGATTTTTAAAAGATAGAAAATTGACAGCTTCGGGAAGCCATTTGTCCAGATTTTCAGTTTTTTTTCTTCCTTTTAATAAAGCATGTACCTTTTTCTGAGGATTTTTTATAAAAAGAAAAGCGGCGTCTTCTCAATGTTGAATTTTGAAATTTGATGTGAACAATCAATACCTTCATTAAGGGCTGTCTAAGATAAGTAACCAATAAGTCTTGACCAATATTCTAAGGCCCTTTTGGTAGTTCAACCCAATGCCGAGAAGCCACACTTACAAGCACACCTCATTTTAATGCTTTAAGAAAATTCAGACTACACAGTCAGCTAGGAGTGATTGTTTTACACTGCAAGTTAAACATAATGTTATAAGATTGTATGTTAATTTCGAACAAATTATGACTTTAGTCATTTTTGTTCCTTTAGTTTATAAGATACTGTCACCGGGTATTTTACATGATGGCATGTGACTTCAACTTTACTGAACCTACCATTTCAGATTGATGTATTGTTTCTTAACTTTACTAAAAATTCCCTTTTAGAATCATTTTTATGACTAGAAATAAAGGTTGCAACATGTTCAAAGTCTATTCAGTCTTTTGAGATGCAAAATGAGAAATTTACATGGGTATAATTGTTTTTTCACAAATATACCATATATAGCAATGCCTTAGGACTTTTACATCCGAGTACAGCAGACAGCGAGCTTTTATTACTTATCTCATTTCAAGGAGCTTACTTTCTCCATGGAAACGGACAGGATTAAAATGGCAGCAGAATACATTGCACTCTTTTCAACTTATATTTTTTACTGTCAATACATAATACAACAAGGTTCCAATATATAAAATAAACATCCCAATATGAAAATCAATTCTTTTTGAAATATTTTTTATTCATTCTGTGTTTCCCACATGTTTATTTTTTCTTATTTTAAGAAATTCGTTCCATCATTCCTTTTCCCTTAACCTTTCACAAAAGGCAAGACCTTTACTTTTAAATCCCCAGTATTTCCTTAAAGAATGTCCTATCCGTTCACCATTTACCGTATTCTAGCTCTGGTGTCTCCATATGCAATGCAAAACGGTACCAGGCAGAGTGTCTTGACCTATAGTGTTATATGATGCACCTCTAGATTGGTTGTATTATAATTTGTGCTATGTATATTTGTGAGATTTTGTTTTTAATTTTGATTTTCCTTCACCACCAGCTTACCAGGCAAAATGGTTATACAGGTGTAAGTAAGCATGTCGTGGACCCTGCATCTCCAGGACAACAGCCCTAGGCCTGTGGTTCGCCATTTCAGCAACTTAACACAAACAAAATCTACATGCTAGAAGTTACCAGTAACTCAAATGCTAAAACTGATACATTTTGCTTTTTTAGAAACAATTTTAAACTAAACTTTACTAATCATAGCATATAAATATTTTTGGTCAATTTAATTGAAGAATTTCTAAATAATGCAAAATATATTCCAGATGAACTATTTGTGTTAAATTGTTGTGAAGTGAAACCGACTTTAAACTGGTGGGCCCTGTATTACATTGTTTGTCTTGCGAACCTCTGTGCCTGGTCTAGTGATGTGATGTCATTATAATCCTGTACCCCGACTCCACCCTTCCCTCCGCCCTGTTGTCATGGTAACGTGTACTCACAGCTGATGTCCACGACTAACACCTCACAGATAATCTGTTGTTACTTTGTAGAAAGAACTCATCACACAGAGATAACCCATTGCTGCTTTGTATAAACATCTGTTTGTACAGAAGATCTCTAAGGAAAATGGAAATAATGCTTGTCATATTTACTCAAAATTCTGTGAATGTACATATAATCCAATGTAATTATTAATGTTTGGGATAAGGTGCTTGTGTATAATCACTCATGCTTCTTAAAACCATTATAACCTGTTTCTACAATAATTAAACTTTTTTTCTGAGATAATAATCTCCTGTTTTTATAACCCAAAGTCAGTATGACAGATGTTGCTTGTATCAAGGTCAATATTGGGTCAATATTGGGTGAATGTTGCTTGTAAATGTGAAGGTCAATATTGTATGGTTGTTACTTATATGAAGGTCAATATTGTATATATATATATATATATATTGTGTACATCAAGGTCAGTATTATATGGATATTTTGAATCAACGTCAATATTGGGTAAATATTGCTTTCATCAAGGTCAGTATTGTGTGGATGATCCTTTGTACCTAGGTCAACTTTGTATGTATGTTCCTTTATATCTAGGTCAACATTATATGGATGTTCCTTTGTATCAAGATAGACATTGTAAGGATGTTCCTTTGTATCAATGTCAATGTTGTATGTATGTTCCTTTATATCTAGGTCTACATTGTGTGGATGTTCCTTTGTATCAAGATAGACATTGTATGGATGTTCCTTTGTACCAAGGTCAACTTTGTGTGGATGTTCCTTTGTATCTAGATCAACATTGTAAAGTTGTTCATTTGTATCTTGGTCAACATTATATGGATGTTCCTTTGTATCAAGATCGACATTGTAAGGATGTTCATTTGTATCTAGGTCAACATTGTAAGGATGTTCCTTTGTTACTAGGTCAACATTGTGTGGATCTTTGTATCTAAGGGATATTGCTTTCATATGGAAATTTAATGGATGTTTCTTAAAATTATCAAGGTCAATGTGGGATGAACGTTGCTTGTAACAGCAATCTGATTAAAATCAACTGTAACATGGCTCCGCCTGAACATCTGAATGTGCTGATGTCAGGGTCACGTTCAAGTGACCTTTAGATGAAGCAATCAGAGGCGCGCTGGCAAAAGTTTGCCAGCAAATCAGAATATCATGGTTGATAGATAAAAAGCGAGGGGTATCGAACAGATAAGTTTTCCAAAACAAATATGGCGGCGGGGAACTGACGTTTCTACGACGCCAAGGAAAACGTACCCATTGGGTAATAATTGCGTAGGCAACACCACCATACAGTCTTTCTTCTCTAATAAAGCTTGTTTTTTTTCTTTTCTGTCCAGGTTTCAGACGATCAATCTCAAAATTTTTAGAACTTTCACATCATTCTCATTAATGTCCGACATATTTGTTACATCTCCGAGCGCCCTTTAGAAAGAGGATCTCTGATTGGTCAAAATTTAATGAGTATTTATAAATATAAAGGCCACCTGAATGTGACCCTGACCGCGGCACACTCAGATGTTCAGGCGTAGTACGAAGTTAACGAAGCCCTGTAACATGATTTTAATCAGATAGCTTGTACCAGTTGCAATGTTTGTTGTGTCAGGGTCAATATTTGATAGAAGTTTCTTGGATCAAAGTCATTTTCAGACCAATATTAGATATATGTGTTTGTCATCAAGTTTATTATAATGAATGAACTTCACCCATATTCAAGGTCAGAGGGGTCAGTTGTCTTAAAAAAAATCAGCAACTTCTTCAGAATAACCAATAGGCATATAGGGTAGTGATAGTTTCCCAGTAGCATGCTCAGATTAAGAGCTATCAAGTTTGTTAATATGAATGACCTTGACCCACTTATGGTCAAATGTGCATAAACCTTTATATAAACTCATCTCATTAAACAAAAGGTCTAGAGTTCAATGCTCAATGTTCTTTATTCTGTAGGCCTTAAGGCCCATAAGTTGTAAGATACAAATAAATGGAGGGTAGCGGTATTTGGCAAGCTGCATGCTGGGATGAAAGGCTATTAGGTTTGTTCAACTTAATGACCTTGTTAGACTTCCAATGTCACAGGGGTCAAATTTGTTTAAATCTTTTAACGGGTTCTTTTGAATAACTTCTAGTCATAGATACTGATATTTTGCCTGTAGCTTTATTTAGTCTACTTTTAAGGTTACAGGTGTGAGATTACAGGTGAGCGATGCAGGCCCACTGGGCCTCTTGTTATTTTGAATGGCAAACACATCAAAATAGATAAAAAAAAAATGGGAAATAAATCAGAAAAAAAAATCATAGCAAACACATTAGTAAAAATGAAAACAATGGAAAAAATAGCAAAGCAAAAAAAATACATAAGAAAAGAAGAAAAGTTACAAATGCATCTGTTAATAGGTTGGCTAGGATAGTTTCAGTTGCTCTTAGCTTACAAACTTTCAAAATAAAAATTTACTTAAAAGTGTTAAAGAATTGAGAAGAAAGCACCTGCTATTTCTGTTCAATATTGACATTGAAGAGTGATCATTTTAGGTGATGTTAATATCAAACTTTTTAATCTTCTGGGCAGATGTGGGACTTTCTGTAATAGTCCTTATAACTTTACTAGACGGATCAGAGCTTCGACATGACATCATTATAGAATTCATTGTGTTGTTATTGATGTAATGACCTAATTAAACACTGATCATTGACACTTTGCAGTAAAAAGGTGTATTGCTAAATTACTTGGTAAAAATATCATCAAGAATATAGGGTTTAGAAAATACATATAGAATATATGTTACAGGCCATTTAACACCTAACAGTGACAAAATTCCTTTGTCAAAACAAATTGGTCTCAAGTTAAAAAATGGAGGAATATCCACTTACTGCAGATTTCCAGAAATAATTTTGTCACAAGTTTTCGGAATACAAGGATTGTGAATACACTGGTTTTGTATACAACTGTTTCATTACAAGGGTTCCAAAATTCAGCTTTCAAATATTTGTTCATGTTTGCATAAAGGATTGTGCTACCTCTCCGTGGCCTTCAACTTTTTTCCTGTAAGGGAGTTAACTCAAACATAATTTACAGATACAATCTGTAAGGGATGAAACTGGCACCAGTAAAGAAAATTCTCCTCATTGACATTTAAGGATGTTTTCTCTGTATAGACAAATTCCCCTCACTGCTTTGATCAAACGTTCTTCACACAATGTTTTTAAGATCAATAGTTGCTGGAAATCTATCATTTTTTTTAAGGAGAAATAAAAGGGTATTTTTTGTTGTTGTTGATATCAGCATCTGATGGATAAGTCAGTTTGGAATGAAACTTAACTATAAAATCCCTCAAATACTTTCTCTCCGAAGTCATGTTAAAACTATTACTCAACATAACGTCATGTCACAGTCGGGTTTGATGTTAGAAATACATGTCTTCAAAGTGTTAGCAAACATTTTATATGTTTCAAATTATAGTCAAGCATTATATTTAAACATTAATTTTCAAATTTCAATTTCATCAGGAACTAGCGTGAATGATAAAACAGAACCGACTGTAATGCCTGGGGATATATATCAATCCATTTTATTGTAATCAAACTTAAATAACTTTGTATTATTGGAGTTATTATCAAACGACAGGGTCTCAAGCATTTATAAGAGTACATTTCCAGTTAGCATGATCTTATCAAGATGGCAGTGATTTCTGTATGAGATAGATACATGCAATTTGATTATTTTTCAATTGTTTTCGGGCAGTTGAGGCCATATATTTCTCTTTTATTTTCAGTAGATATCAGTGGTGTTGAAACTCAGCTGGATTTTGCAGAGGTTATCCTTGTTTGGACACTTTTTTCCAGTATAAAGAGAATTTCAGGATTATAAGAATGGCGTAACATTGGTATTGAAACCACATATCGGATGCTCCATTTCTGCAAACACATTGATGTATAAAGAGCTATTTGCTGAGTTCTCTAATATTTTCTGGAGATTTCGGGTTTGATAACTTTTGAATTTTTACGTGACGCCTTTCATCAGCTAGTGGGAATGCTCCCATTAAAGTTAATGGGGGCTATACAGTTCAAGTTCCGTTTATTTTAAATCAATAATTCCAAAACGTGTAACATTTTGCAGCAAAGTTTGTGAAAATAGTTCATGTTGCTGAGAGCTAATCTAATTTGAAAAAACGTTCATGTGATCAGAGTTTTAGGACTCCTTCCCTAAGTCATTTCCTGTTTGAAATGTTCATTGTGATATAAATCTTAAATCTCTCTATTGACAAAACTAAAATAACAAAACCAATCAATAAGAATCAAGTCTGTCCCTACGAGGGAACAGAAGATAAAAATGAGTAAGCAATCAAGTCTGTCCCTACGAGGGAACGGAAGATAAAAATGAGTAAGCAATCAAGTCTGTCCCTATGAGGGAACAGAAGATAATAATGAGTAAGCAATCAAGTCTGTCCCTACGAGGTTTAAAAATGAGTAAGCAATCAAGTCTGTCCCTACGAGGGAACGGAAGATAAAAATGAGTAAGCAATCAAGTCTGTCCCTATGAGGGAACAGAAGATAATACTGAGT